GGCACCGGGGCGGGAGCGGCTGCGAGCAGCGCCGCCCGCAAGTACCCTACGTGCCCTGAGCACGAAATGGAGAACTACAGCATGTACTGTGTGAGCTGCAGGACCCCGGTGTGCTACCTGTGCCTGGAGGAAGGCCGGCACTGCAAGCACGAGGTGAAGCCGCTGGGGGCCATGTGGAAACAGCACAAGGTGAGCGCCCCCTGGGCAGGGCACGGGGCGCGGGTGCAAAGCAGAAGGTGCGAGGAGCAGGGCTTTGTCCTCTTCCCTGGAGAGCTGGCAGAGGGTCGGCCAGAGGGTCAAGAAGGAATTGCCTCATTCATTCGTTCATTCGTGCATTCTCTCATTAGTCTTGTGATAGACACTTAAATGAACTCTAGGTGCTCCGAGCTGGGTGATGGAGATGGGAAGGGCGTGGAAAGATAACATGCTAGGTCCCTACCTAACAGAGATTTTATGATTCTTCACAAAAGTCACCCAGAATGCAGAAGCAGGCCTCTTTCACTCCCAAAGTTGACTAATATTAGTTACCTTCATGGTCCCTCTGGATTTATGGCACCCATTGCCTGTTTCTTTCCCTAAAAAGTTTTTTTTTAAGTGCAAGTGTTGCCACCTGCCTGCAGGAAAATGTCCAATAGCCATCTGTGCTTGGTTAATCTGTTCTGAAGGCAGGAAGGATTCTATCCCAGGCCTCGGTGGACAGATACACTATTTATTCTTCAGAGCAGAACTCCCACCAGCTTCTAGAGCAGAAAATTTCCTACTCTCTGGACTGGTCTTCAGCACTTTCTATCCCCAGAATACCTCTCAGCTTAGAGGGGAGATAGGATTCCTCATGGGCCTTATTTGAGAATTTAGGTTGTACCCTTTTAAGAAGGGAGCATCATTCTCCCCCAGAGACCGTCTCTCTTACTGGAACTCTGCCACTTGTGGTGGGAATGTGATGGAGGACAGGTTAAGCTCTTAGTGAGACAGCCAGGCACCCTCATCGTGGGCTGCTGCAAGCCATCTTCCCCAGGAACTTGCCTGGGGATGCCCCCTCCCGAGTTAGAATAGAACAGCCTCTGCAGGCAACTTGCACACCCTCCCGTCTGACAGGGAAGGAGAGAAACCTTCAAAATCAGGTCAGATCCTTGATCAGGCCCCAAGGCAAGAGTGGGGTCAGCTTTTCTAACAAACATTCACCTTAATTTCCTAACCAAAGGCCAGGCTGAGCAACTAACTGGACTCCGGGAGCCAGGACCTCAACTGCATTTGCAAATTTGGGTGCCTGTCATCCGGTGTCCTTTTCCCAGTAAACTCTCACCCAATAAAGAGACAGGAGGTCTCCAAATCATGCAATAGGAATATGTATTCTTATTGAGGAGGAAAATCACAGGAAAATAAGGCAACTTGTCATTGTTCTGTTGTATCAACCAACTGGTAATAAACAAAAAGGGGGAGCATAGATGGGAGAAGAAGACACCAACCATTCGTGCTATGGATTTATTAAATACAGCTACTATATAATTTCATCTGCTACAATGTACATGTTAGTACTGTAACTTAATGTTTTCCAATAAAAAAATCAGAAAAGAGAACAAACAAGGAACACTTTAGAGATCCACCTTGGAGGGGGAAATGTGCGCAGTAGTTCAGAAAATGGCAACTGAGAATCAAATCCCTAGTTCTAGAGCTGTGGTTCTCATTTAGTGACAATTTCACTTCCCCTCCAGGACATTGCCAATGTCTGGAAACCATTCTGGTTGGCACACTTTGGAGGTACTACTGGTATCTAGGGGATGGAGTTCAAGGTGGCTGCTAAACAGCCTACAGTGCCCAGGAAACCTCCCCCAAAACAATGATCCAGAAAAATGTCAATAGTGCCTCTGCAGAGAAATCCTGCTGTAAGTTACACAGACCTGGATCCGGATCTCAGGGATGGTAATTCACTTGCCGTAGACTGTAAGCATTTAGGCACAGTTTTAAACCCACTGAATAATAATATGTAACTCAAATAATTGTCATAAGGAGGAATAGAGTGCTGTATGTTTAGCCTCTGGCACAGTGCCTGACTCACAGTAACCAATCTATATTTTTAAAATTATTTTTGTAGTCCTAATACTTAACGTCACTAAACTTGGAGGAAACTATAGGGCAGCAGAAAAGAGTGCTTATTTGACCTCAGGGGCTTGGTTACCTGGAGAAAACATGAGCTGGTAACTTTTGGTATGATTTATGTTGAATCCTAAAATAACTCTGAGCTAAATGAGAATGTCTGCTTGGGTGAGTTATCATATATGACATTTGGTTGCATATCGCTTCATGGTAATTGTCACTGCCTTGCTTATTTCATCTTTCACGTGAGAAGACATCATTTTACAAATAAAGGAATCTTTTGTAAAGAGGCTGTGATCAATTACCAAGACAAGAAGTATATGTTCACATTCAGGTTTTACGAGCTGGTAGATTACGAGCAGCCTAGAAGCCTAAAACTAATGCTGGGTGTTGCCACCCAAATATTTAGACTTAGTGAAGTGTAGAAAGCCAAATGAGTTGAGAGTCTGCAATCTTACAGGAGATTAAACCTCTTATCTAGGACAGTGAGTTGAATAATGAGCTATGTTTTCAAGAACCAAGGAAAATCATTGGCCATCCTTGTCTTGGTGTCAACGGAAATTTTATGACATTTCTATCTGAGGAAATATGGAAAGAATATATGATGTTTGCTCAGTAGAGTGGGACAGTTATCTATGCGAAACAGACTAAGCAGAATTTAGTATCTCAATTTATTGCCTTTGCTTCAGGGATCTGAGACATCCTCCTAAGTCCAGAATTAAGAATGCTATGAGATACAGCAGGTGCTGTTTCTCTAAAGCAAGGAAAGTCATTGAGTGCTTCTTATGGGCATCTCAACTAGTGGCTGGAAATCAAAAGAAAAGACAAATGAGGGAGCCCTGGTGGAGCAGGGGTCTAGACCACCTCTGTGAGTTGAGCAGCTGGCTACTGTTGAAAGATAAACTTGAATACTCAATTTCACACCCCCACCGTGGAAGTTTAAGTTCTTTAGTAAAACTTCAAGTCTCTGAATTTTTTGTTGTTGCTGTCATCCAAAAATCCCAGAATCCATGACAAAGCTTGGTGCACTACGAGAACCAGAATTGGGACAGAAATATTTCCCTAACATCCTGTGACTGGAGAAGCCTTAATCAAAGCTTTAATGCCTCTTTAGCATGGCTGGAGCTTGCCAACTAATTCGTGATTCTTAGGGGAAAAGATATGTCAGTGACACTGACATCTATGTTAAAACAAGATTGATTATCACCTTTCAGAAACAGTGTTAACACTTTAAGTCACAGCCACACACGTTTTTAGATAATTCTTCTGGAAGAGGGTTAATAATTTCAAAGAACTTCTGATGTGAAGAAACAATACATTGTGAAAGACAGAACAGGGAAGGGAAGCTTTCTTTCCACAAGAGCTTTTGTCTTTTTGCCTGTTGACGATGGAATTTTAATTTCCCTGAAGCCAGAGGGAAAGGACCACTGTGGGACATCCCTGCTCCTAGTGTGGCATGTCACAGAATGTCAGCAACAATTGTAACTCCTGCTGGGAGCAGACAGTGGACCCTGAATCAAAACGGGTGGGAGCTGATTCTCTAACTGAGGTAGGAACTGCCAGACAGGCCCTTCTGCAGAAGCCTTTGGAGAACCATGGACTTCAGAAGAGAGTCAAAGCGAAATTTCCCTGATATGCCAAGGTTACTATTCCCAATGAGTCAGCACTTCACAAGCGCAAAGGAGATGGGGAGGCCTGGAAATTACAGGAAAAACAAGACTTCAGGCTACTCGCATGTCCTAAGGTCCTGCCAGAGGGCACTTGGCTTCTCTGTGGCCTGGTCCTACCTTATTTTATGAAAGAGAGAAGGAAAGGCTTTTAACCTTTAAAGCCTCAGAGGGAAAGACTGGCTTCCTGAAAAGAGAGAACGTAAATGACAAAGGCAGAGCATGTGATCATAACTACATAATCATAAGTATAATTATCTGAGTATTTGTAGTATGTTACAACACAGGAATTAAATGCTCTTTGTTAAGAATTAGAATTATAGGAATCGAGATATAGAAATTAAATATCATCTCCAAATTCCAATTTGCAAAGGAAAACACTTCTAACATTTTAGAGTTTTTCCTATTGTATATTTGTTTTCTAACTGTCATTTTAAAAATAATACAATATGAATATCTTTCCAGTCAATGTACATCATTTTGGATGGCTGGGTGCCATTCCATTGTAAGGATTTATTATTTTATTCCATCCGTAACCTGATGCTGATTTTTATTTAGATCGTTTTCAGCCTTTTGCTGTTATAAACATTTTTCAAGAGTATTCTATGCCTATACTCTTAATTATTTCCTGAGGTTAAATTTCTAAATCCTGAATTGCTATGTTGAAGAATATCTGGCTTTAAAACATCTGGTTAATGTTGCCAGGTTGCCTTCCATGAAGTTAATACCTATCTTTTCTCCCAACAGCAAAATTAGTAAACAATGAAAAATTCATGTAGAGAGGGATCATGAAGGAAAATAATAAGATGGATTGTCTTGTTTCTAGTACTTAATGTTTTCTATTTTCACTATATTATTGTTAGAACTGTTTTTAAGAAGAGGATCACAAGTACCTAGACTTCTATATTTTTAACGATGAATTAATGACCTTCCTTCTCTCAAAAACAGATTTGAAGGGAAGTGTAGAGCTCAGTGGTAGAGTGTATACTTAGCATGCACAAGGTCTTGGGTTCAATCCCCAGTATTTCTGCTACCTCGAAAGGGGGAGGGAAAAGACCCCAGTCCTTGTCTTACCCAAAAGATAAGAACTCAGACGGGAGACAGAAGATCATAAAGGTTTTATTAGCAAAGGGAAAGCACACCTCCAGGAACGGGAGGAGGCTGATCCCAGGGCAGAGAGCAATGGTCTTTGTTTGCCCCCTTCTCTTATGCCCTCGCTTAGAGGTGGTCTCTTGGTTGATGGAGTGCTCAGTCATGCTCCTCCCCTTTTGGGCATGTCCTTACCAGTGATGCACACAGAAATTACAATGCCAATTATATTACAGTGAGCACTAGGTCATGTCTGGTTAGGTCCTTGTAGCTACTGCACAGTTCCCACTGTCAGCTTCTAACTGGTTTCTTGCTGGCGCTCATTTTGAGGAGGTAAAG